GCCCACGCTGGCCAGCCCACGGCTGACGTCCCCAGCCAGTGTGGGGCCCCCAGTGTCCCCTCTCCTGCCCCCTCCCACCCGGGAATGGAAAGAGCTGAAGTCTCACTAAACAGTGGGATGCTCTGGGCCTCGTTATGATGATGCAAATTAATATTTATTATGTAATTATTCATCTTCATAATTGTGAGTATTTCAAAGGAGCACAGAGGCTTTAATTAGAACACTCAGAATGCCATTAAAAAGGAACAGCAGAGTAAGAGGTGTCCCTCTCCCCACCACAGCCCTGATGTCAGGCAGCTTCCAGAAGGTTCTCAGGGCCTTGGCGGCACAGCCGTGATTCCCCAACTGGATGCTGGCTGGTATTCTGGACCATCTGTTTGTTCTGCCAGAGGGTACATGACATGCACTTGCAGAGAGAGATGGAGAGACAGAGAAAGAGGGGAAAACAGCCCGTGAGGAATGCTCAGGCCAGAACCCCTTCTCCCCCACCGCTTCCTCCTGTTGGGATTCTGGGCACACACACAACCACCTGGTGTGCTTCTCAAGCTAGCAGGTCTGGGACTTGAACCATGCAGCTGGCCATGTGGGATCTGTTTGCCTTAACCACCAGGTCACAGATCCGGCCCATTTATTCATAGAGCTATATTTTTTACCCCGTTAACTGGAAACCTTCTAGACCATCTGAAACCAGAAAGAGACTCAAAGGGCCCAAGGTCCCCAAACTGCCACCGAGATGGGCAGCAGCGTGTCCTTGGGCACAGAGGCTGGCACTGATCCGTGCAAGGACGGTGTCACCAGGACCTCCAGACCTGCTGCTCTCTGGCCCACCCTGCCTGACTGGGACCCTCGCCCCTCACACACAGCCACCCTCTCTGCCTCCCCTCCCAGCTCCTGCCATTCCAGAACGCTCCTCCAGCCCCAGGGAAGCACTGCCCACCCTTTCAGGCTCAGGCCCCCTGGGCACGACCCAATATTAAATTTTTAGTGGCAACTTCAGAGGGTCAGAAAGTGAGCTCCAGTCTTAAAGAAGCGAGATTTGGCAAGCGGTAACAGCCCCCTGGTGGCAGCTGGGTCCCCGGCCACCTGCAACCCTGTCACCATCTGAACTCCCTGTCCAGCTGAGAGTGAAGGCTTCAGACTGGGCCAGAAAGTGAGGCGGGGTCAAGGCAGAAAGGTGCAGCCTGAGTGGAGTCGGGCGAGGGGCCGTTAGAGTCAGAGGAGGGCAGTCGACATGGTGTCCAGGTGTCCAGTGGCTGACGTGGCAGCCCTGGGCAGTGGCAGCTGAGTGTGGGCCACAGCGAGGGACCTGTGGACTCCTGTGGACTGGCTGGGGGATGGGCGTGGTTATGGGAGGGTGCTGCCCAAGGCCCAGATTACAGAGTCCCAGAGATGTGGACAGCCATCAGCTCCCAAGTCAAGCCTGGGCAGCAGAGAATCGCAGCAGCCAGGCAGGCCCCGAACTCACACGGCTGGAGATGGAGCCATGAGGGATGGGCCTTGCAACGGGTGGGGAGGGAGTTTCCAGACCGTGAAGGAGGATGGGGTCAGGTGGGGGGAGCGGGGTAAAAGCGAAATGTCATAGGTGGCAGGGAGCAGGGTACAAGTCCAAATGTGGTCCCAGAATGTGCTGGAAACCCTGCCTGGGGCTGGCCTGCAGCCTTGTGTGGGTGAGGGAGCCAGACCCCACACAGCCCACCATGTCTGAATCCTAGGTCCAGCAGCAAGAGAAACATGCCAAGTACATGTGTGTGCGCCCAGAGTCCTGACAGGGCAGGAGGGATCTGGGCATGACCACATCCATAGGGATGCTTGCTCGCTCTCTTTCTCCCTCTCTCTCTCCTCTCTCTCTCTCTCCCCTCTCTCTCTCTCCAGCAAACATGCCCTCAGGAAATTAAACAAACAATCCAAAAACCTTCCCTGACAGCCCCAGAGACCACTCTGGAACCAGTCCTGCCCGGAAGGCCCCCAGAGCCCACCTGCCCCTGCTCGGTTTCCTCACCACCCGGCCTGTGCTCCGTGGGGCGAGGAACACAGCCAGCTCGTCCTAATTGCCCCTCGCTTGGTGCTCACGGTGACAGGGCTCAGCAGGTGTGGTGACCTGCCTGTTTTACAGAGGAGGAAACCAAGGCGTGGTCTGGGAGCACACAGCCCACTCCCCCAACTCGCCAGGCACACTGAGCCAGAGTCCGGCTGCGTACACCTCTTCCGAAACAGGCCTGGGCTCCAGTTTCAGCCTCTACGGCTGCATGGCCTCAGTCATCCCATCACGTCGCCAGCCTCAGCCGCCTCATCTGTAAAACAGGGGTGTCCTTACTCTGCCTTCCTGTCTGTTGGTCTCCTCACCATGGACACCCAGGGGCAAGTCCCTGCTTCCACCCCTTATTCCCGTCTGAGCCCACCAGGCGTGCCCACCTGTCCCCCAGCCTCCTGGGCGTCCTGCAGAACTCTGGCACCTCAAACCCCACAGCTCCACTGGACGAGCCCATCTTCCTGGACAAAGGAGGCCCCTTCCCAGCTTTTCAGCTGCTTCTAAAACACCTGCAGCAGCCTCCTGCGATGAGGCCCAGACCCCTGCAGGCCCTTAGCTGGCCTGATTAATATGCATATATGCTAATCAGCAATGCCCCGTATTTGCATGACAGAGGGAGCAAGTTCCCCCTCCTGAATGGCTTCCAAAAGCTTTTCTATCCTGTTTTCAAAGTCCTGCTGGGGAGGCTCTCTGGACTCCTGATGGGCAGCCTGACCCTCATGCTCAGCATTCCCACCCAGAAGCGTCCTGGTCCTGGGTGGGAGAACACGGCATGAGGTACAAGGTGCTGCTCCTGTCTCCAGAGCTGTCTCCCCATGGGAGCTGCCCTGGCTCAGGGCTGTCCTTAAGGCCTCACTGGAGAAGCGGAAGAGAAAGAAGCGTGTGGCCTCCCTGTGCCCCCCCCCCCCCACATCCCTTCTATATAGTCCCCCCCCCCCCCCCCCCAGCAGCCTGTAAACAGGCACAGTGACAGTGCCTGCGAGGTCTTTCGAGCTGCCCAGGACAGAGTGGGCGCGGAGTGTCGCCCCACACAGACGGTGCTTCTTTTCAGCCAGCCTCCTTCCCTGGGCCATACTGGGGACAAGGGCTTCCTGGTCAGGGCCCCATCCCTCCACAGGGCTAGGCAGAGGGTGGCTGGACACTCAGGCCGCACACCTTTCCTGCACAGATCCCCAGCCCTGCACCAAACCCCTGCCCTGCACCGAGCCCCTGCCCTGCGCCGAGCCCCTGCCCTGGTGGGGAGCTCAGCCCTCCCTCTGAGTGTGTCCCCTGCACAAGGCTGGGCTCTGCTGTCCCACCTTCACGTCAACAATGACACCATGATAATAGTAACCGTCTATCTGCCCAGCACGGAGCCATCCCACACCAACACGCCCTCTCATCCTCCCATGGGCCTGCAGTGGCAGTGGGACAGTGACACTCAGAGAAGAAGAGCCTATTCCTGTCCCTCTGCCCATCGGGTCAGAACCAGGACCACCCAGACCCTGCCCACCACGGATCCAACACGCAACTTCCCAGGGAGGCCCCAGGGCGCTCTCCACCCTGGACAGCAGCTGCATGGGAGTAAAAGCACCGGAACAGCCCCTTGAGGTGGGTGCCGTCACTGCATTAGGTGATAATGAGAGAGAAAGAAACAAGCAAATGAAAAAAAGTTTAAAAAAACAAACATTCACACAGTCAGCCGGGCATGGCGGTGCATGCCTGTAACCCAGCGCTCAGGGAGCTGAGGCAGGAGGATTGCACACGTTCAAGGCAAGCCTGGGCAACAGGGCAAGACCTTCCTCTTAAAAAATAAGTACATAGGGGGCCAGCAGATGGCGTAATGGTTGCGTTGCTGGACTCCCACATAGTCAACTGTGGTTCAAGTCTCGGACCAGGCAGCTTAAAATTCCCACTGGGCATGCGTGCATGCATGCCCAAGATCCCAGGAGGAGAGTAGAGAAGAGATTGCGTGTGGCCATCCCTCATGGGGGATGATTCCTTGCTTCTGTCTCTCTGTCTCTCCTGTCCAGCGAGTACACATGAAAAGTGAATAAATAAATAATCACTCATGTTAGGGATTGAATGTCTGTGTCTTCCAAAAAAATCTCATGTTGAAGTCCTTGCCCCAATATGTGACGTTAGGAGGAGGAATCCATGGGACATAATTAGGGTTAGAAGAGGTCGTGAGGATGGGGCCACCATGCTGGAGTTAGCGTCCTTATAAGGGGAGTGAATCGTCCCCCTTTCACTCTCGTGTTCTCTCTGCCATGGGAGTATGAGGCTGCCCATGACCCAAGCAGAGAGCCCCTTGGTGACCAGTCACCCCGCACCCTGTTGTCGGCGTCCCAGCACGGACCTGAGGGAGACAGAGGTCTGTCATTCAGCCACTCCACCACGGTCCCAGACCAAGACTACTCAGCAGGAGGACAGCAAAGCCAGGGACCAGCCACAAGCCTGGTTTGCAGAGCTCGAACCAGGACTGGCCCTGTTCACTGCCCATTATGGGCTCTGGGAACCGAGCATCGGGCTGCAGGCCCGTCCCTCTGAGAGGTGCTGGGGCTGGCGCTCTTGGCGACCATGCTGGCGGGCCCTGGCCGTGGGCCTGGCCTGGGCACACAGGGTGCTGGGCACCGCCCTGGCCTCCTCACAGTGGTGCCAGCAGCCCTCCCCCCACCCGTGAGAACCAAAGCGCCGAGTGTCTCCCAACTGAGGACCGCTGCTGCGTGGAAGGCTGGCACACAGCCGGGACATCAATGCCAAAAAGGGATAATAATTAAAGCAATGATAATGGACGCAACAGTAACAGGGATTGTAGAGACAGCGATAATTGGATAATGACGACCACCATGAAAGTAAGCGCGGAGCAAGAGCAGGCGTGCACTCACGGCCACAGCTCCGGCGACAGGGCACAGCAGGACACGCGGGCGCCGTTTCCTGGTGATGGCAGGGCAGCGTGGCCCCCACCCCAGCTCAGCCCTGGCCTGCCTGTTTCCTGTCTCTCCAGCCGCAGACCCTGGAGATGACCTTCTGGGAGAACGTGCCCCCTGCTGGTGGCAGGCAGGTCAGCTGAGGTCACCCTGGCAGGTACCGAGACCTCCCGGCTCCGTCCCTGCTGGCCTTGGGACTCTAGCACACCCCTCTAACTCCAGGGGTCAGATGGTCAGTGGGAGACAGGGATCTGGCACTTAGGGCGACGTTCAACCATGCCATCTTCAGGGCCCCTCCCTTTCTCACAAAGTCCCCTAATTTAGGGACACTACACTCCAGCACCCACTGCATACCCAGAATGGCTGGTGACAGGCCAGTGGCCACAAAGACACGGGCCGAGTTGGGTTTCTGTGTCCAGGTAGATGTGCCTGCTGGGAGCAGTTTCCACCCAGGGTGTGTCTAGTGCCCACGCAGGTGACAGAAGGCACGTCGCCTGAGCCACCCAGACGCTTTGGAGACCAAAGGCATACTGCTAACAATAAGCAGCAACCGTGGCACAGCCAGGACTGTGGCCACCTGCTCCAGAGTCACGGCACGGCACCCGAAGGTTGGGGACACACCCCCACTCCAGTGTCAAGACCCCATGTGGCATCTCAGTGTCACTTTCCCTTTAAAGGCCACCTCTCGTACAGCCCAGAGGGAAGACTCCGTGCATCTCTACAAGCATCTGAAATGCTCCAGGGTGAAGAGCTGGAGAGCCATGGGGCAAGTGGGAGCTATCAGGGCTAGGGCACGTCCCTTGAGTTCCTAGTCTGGAGGGGCTGCAGGGAGCTCAGACAACAGCCAACCCTGGAGTGCCCCCCATGGGGACACCTGGCCACCACTGCCCCGGGTCCCTCTCAGTAGTTCTGGTCCATTCTTTAGCTTTCCCTGGGCTGGTGTCCTCCAGGGGGTCCGGAGGTGGGCCAGGACAGGCTCAGGCCAGCCCTCTCCCTCCAGACAACCTGGACTGAGCACCCACTTCAGGGAGGCAGCCAGGCCAGGAGAGATGCGTGCAGACCTGCCCTGGCTGACTGCCAGGCCAGCACCCTCACCCTCCCTCTCTCTGTGATGCTCAGGCTTCCAGGGTGTCACCTGGGCTGAGAGGCCTTTATAAAGACTCAAAGCCCCCGGGACTTCCAGCCTCTCCCCCACACCCACCCCAGACAGGCATGCCCACCGAGCCCGCCGGCAGCTCCCCACGCCCACCCCAGACAGGCGTGCCCACCGAGCCCGCCAGCAGCTCCCCACGCCCACCCCAGACAGGCGTGCCCACCGAGCCCGCCAGCAGCTCCCCACGCCCACCCCAGACAGGCGTGCCCACCGAGCCCGCCAGCAGCTCCCCACGCCCACCCCAGACAGGCGTGCCCACCGAGCCCGCCAGCAGCTCCCCACGCCCACCCCAGACAGGCGTGCCCACCGAGCCCGCCAGCAGCTCCCCACGCCCACCCCAGACAGGCGTGCCCACCGAGCCCGCCAGCAGCTCCCCACGCCCACCCCAGACAGGCGTGCCCACCGAGCCCGCCAGCAGCTCCCCACGCCCACCCCAGACAGGCGTGCCCACCGAGCCCGCCAGCAGCTCCCCACGCCCACCCCAGACAGGCGTGCCCACCGAGCCCGCCAGCAGCTCCCCACGCCCACCCCAGACAGGCGTGCCCACCGAGCCCGCCAGCAGCTCCCCACGCCCACCCCAGACAGGCGTGCCCACCGAGCCCGCCAGCAGCTCCCCACGCCCACCCCAGACAGGCGTGCCCACCGAGCCCGCCAGCAGCTCCCCACGCCCACCCCAGACAGGCGTGCCCACCGAGCCCGCCAGCAGCTCCCCACGCCCACCCCAGACAGGCGTGCCCACCGAGCCCGCCAGCAGCTCCCCACGCCCACCCCAGACAGGCGTGCCCACCGAGCCCGCCAGCAGCTCCCCACGCCCACCCCAGACAGGCGTGCCCACCGAGCCCGCCAGCAGCTCCCCACGCCCACCCCAGACAGGCGTGCCCACCGAGCCCGCCAGCAGCTCCCCACGCCCACCCCAGACAGGCGTGCCCACCGAGCCCGCCAGCAGCTCCCCACGCCCACCCCAGACAGGCGTGCCCACCGAGCCCGCCAGCAGCTCCCCACGCCCACCCCAGACAGGCGTGCCCACCGAGCCCGCCAGCAGCTCCCCACGCCCACCCCAGACAGGCGTGCCCACCGAGCCCGCCAGCAGCTCCCCACGCCCACCCCAGACAGGCGTGCCCACCGAGCCCGCCAGCAGCTCCCCACGCCCACCCCAGACAGGCGTGCCCACCGAGCCCGCCAGCAGCTCCCCACGCCCACCCCAGACAGGCGTGCCCACCGAGCCCGCCAGCAGCTCCCCACGCCCACCCCAGACAGGCGTGCCCACCGAGCCCGCCAGCAGCTCCCCACGCCCACCCCAGACAGGCGTGCCCACCGAGCCCGCCAGCAGCTCCCCACGCCCACCCCAGACAGGCGTGCCCACCGAGCCCGCCAGCAGCTCCCCACGCCCACCCCAGACAGGCGTGCCCACCGAGCCCGCCAGCAGCTCCCCACGCCCACCCCAGACAGGCGTGCCCACCGAGCCCGCCAGCAGCTCCCCACGCCCACCCCAGACAGGCGTGCCCACCGAGCCCGCCAGCAGCTCCCCACGCCCACCCCAGACAGGCGTGCCCACCGAGCCCGCCAGCAGCTCCCCACGCCCACCCCAGACAGGCGTGCCCACCGAGCCCGCCAGCAGCTCCCCACGCCCACCCCAGACAGGCGTGCCCACCGAGCCCGCCAGCAGCTCCCCACGCCCACCCCAGACAGGCGTGCCCACCGAGCCCGCCAGCAGCTCCCCACGCCCACCCCAGACAGGCGTGCCCACCGAGCCCGCCAGCAGCTCCCCACGCCCACCCCAGACAGGCGTGCCCACCGAGCCCGCCAGCAGCTCCCCACGCCCACCCCAGACAGGCGTGCCCACCGAGCCCGCCAGCAGCTCCCCACGCCCACCCCAGACAGGCGTGCCCACCGAGCCCGCCAGCAGCTCCCCACGCCCACCCCAGACAGGCGTGCCCACCGAGCCCGCCAGCAGCTCCCCACGCCCACCCCAGACAGGCGTGCCCACCGAGCCCGCCAGCAGCTCCCCACGCCCACCCCAGACAGGCGTGCCCACCGAGCCCGCCAGCAGCTCCCCACGCCCACCCCAGACAGGCGTGCCCACCGAGCCCGCCAGCAGCTCCCCACGCCCACCCCAGACAGGCGTGCCCACCGAGCCCGCCAGCAGCTCCCCACGCCCACCCCAGACAGGCGTGCCCACCGAGCCCGCCAGCAGCTCCCCACGCCCACCCCAGACAGGCGTGCCCACCGAGCCCCCCAGCAGCTCCCCACACCCACCCCAGACAGGCATGCCCACTGAGCCTGCCGGCAGCTCATGCTCACACACTTGCACTCATCCCTGCAGGCTGAGACCCTGGAAGGAGAGGGTCAGGTCGCCAGAAGGAGGCCGGCACCAGCACCAGCACCCCGGGCAGGAACACGCCGGAGTGGCACGGGTGGGCTTGGAGCGGGGGCTCACCAAGGCCATGGCCACCTGCGGGGTCTGACCAGTCCCCAGGCACAACAGCAGGTGTGTCAAAGCACCAAGGGGACAGGAGCCCTCTGTGACTGGCCCAGCAGCCTCCAGGCAGACCCAGGCCACCTCGCCCTTGGCTGCTCGCCCTTCCACTCTGGCAAAGAAAGGGGCCAGGATGGCAGGGGCTCTGACTTCTGGTTCTGGAACCTTCCACCCCACACACATTGTCACACTCTGCTGACCTGAGAAACAGGGACCAGGACAGGAACTGCTCGGACTCAGAGCAGGGCAGGCGGCTGGGCCTCCCATCCCCACCCAGGGGGCTCTGTCCACAGGCCTATTCCCTGGCCCAGACCTCTGCACCTGCCCGCTCACTTCCGATGCTGCCTGCTGGCCTCACACGGGCACCACATGCCTTATATGTGACACTGCATGCACACCCAATGTATGCACACCAGCCACACACCTCACACATGCACACACCACATGAGCACACCATGTATACATACACCAACCACATACCACACACACTCCATATGTACACACTCAAACATACACTACACACACCTACCACACACACTAGACCTATACATACCAGATATACACACACCTACCACATGCCACACACACCAGACATGCACCATATATGTACACATGAATACACACACTTATCACATACTTTACATGAAGCACATATGTGTCACACACATGCACGCCACATATGCAAGTACCATCCACGCACCACACATGTACACACAATAGACACATGTACGCTCCACATGTACACACACCAACCACATACTACTGGCACTGCACACACGCATTTGTGTATGCACATGCCAACCACACGTGTACATGTGCACTCCACATAGGTATGTGAATGCCACACAGAGACAGATGGACACATGAAATGTATATGCACACACCAAATACACACAGGCATGCTCATCACACACAGACACCCCAGAGCACACACACACAGACACACACACACCCTCAACGCAGTTGGTACGGCAGTGAGGAGCCGACAGAGCAGCAGAGCACAGCAGACAGCCAAGAATGGAAATGACAGAACACAGCCCTTCCCGTAAGGAGCAGGAGCCCTGAGTCCCTCCAACCACTCAGCCACAGCCCTCCTGGGGTGCAGGTGGCCCCCACCCTACCAGGGAGGTTGTAGGTGTGTCTGCAGGTGTAAGAGTGTAAGGGTGTGGGGTGTGCCTGGGTGTGATCGTAGGTGTAGGAGGTGTCTGTGATTCAGTAGGTGTAAGGTGTGTCTGTGCATGGCGTGTGTGTCTATGTGTAGGGGTGTCCGTGTGTGTGTATGTGGCATGCATCTGTGTGTGTCTATAGGTGTACGTGTGTGCTGTGTGTGTAGGTGTGGGGGTGTCCCTGTGTGCCTGTATGTGGCATGCATCTGTGTGTGTCTACAGGTGTAAGTGTGTGCTCTGTGTGTAGGTGTGGGGGTGTCCCTGTGTGCCTGTACGTGGCATGCATCTGTGCGTGTCTGCAGGTGTAGGCGTGTGCTGTGTGTGTAGGGGTGGGGGTGTCCCTGTGTGCCTGTACGTGGCATGCATCTGTGTGTGTCTGCAGGTGTAGGCGTGTGCTGTGTGTGTAGATGTGGGGGTATCCCTGTGTGCCTGTATATGGCATGCATCTGTGTGTGTCTGCAGGTGTAGGCATGTGCTGTGTGTGTAGGTGCGGGGGTGTCCCTGTGTGCCTGTACGTGGCATGCATCTGTGTGTGTCTGCAGGTGTAGGCATGTGCTATGTGTGTAGGTGTGGGGGTGTCCCTGTGTGCCTGTATATGGCATGCATCTGTGTGTGTCTGCAGGTGTAGGCATGTGCTGTGTGTGTAGGTGTGGGGGTGTCCCTGTGTGCCTGTACGTGGCATGCATCTGTGTATGTCTGCAGGTGTAGGCGTGTGCTGTGTGTGTAGGTGTAGGGGTGTCCGTGTGTGCCTGTACGTGGCATGCATCTGTGTATGTCTGCAGGTGTAGGCGTGTGCTGTGTGTGTAGGTGTGGGGGTGTCCCTGTGTTCCTGTACATGGCATGCATCTGTGTGTGTCTGCAGGTGTAGGCATGTGCTGTGTGTGTAAGTGTGGGGGTATCCCTGTGTGTCTGCAGGTGAGGAGCATTTGCCATGTGTGTCTGCCTGTGGCGTGTCTCTGGAGCATATGTGGGGGAGGCGCCTGCAGGTGTGGGTCCCCGTGTCTAGGGTACTGCCTCTCCAGGGCCGTGATGGAGGACTCCCCCCCGGAGCCAGAGGTGCGTGAGGATGGCTGTTGCCCAAGGTGCCACCTGCTGGGCCCACCCCTCTTGGGCCCATGACACCCACCCAGCACCAAATGGCAGAAAATGGCCTGGACCTGGCCCAGGGTCACAGGGGCCCCATCAGTGAGGGTGGGGTCCTGCAGAAGTGGAGGAGTTCCGTGACCCCAGGTCCTACCAAGAGAGGCTCTCCAGACTGTGACAGGGTGAGTCATGCAGACTTGGGGACAATGTTAAAGTGAGGTGCACAGAGGGAAGACAAGGTGGCCTTGTGCTCCCTGTCCTGCCAGGCCCCTGGCCTGCCCCAAATACCCCCGGAGGCCCTGAGCAGCAGTGTGGAAGCCTGGCACAGGCAGGCCCAGCCTGTTTGTGGTTGCTAGGAGGTTTCCATGGCGACTAATGGGGACGAGGAAGCCCAGCAGCTTAGCATCCCCCTCCAGCTGGTCAAAGCTGGGGCCTCACAGCTGCACCTGGGACCTGGGGTCTGGCCGCCCACTCAGGGGCTGGGGCAGGCTGGGCCCCTGCAGACCCCTCCAGAGGCAGGCACACCAGGGATGAGCAGATGGACAGGAGGGGGGAGCTGGGCAGTGGCCTGGAGTGCACAGGCCCCTATAGTGTCACCCACTCCTCGACCGAGGGACTGCCCAGGCCGGCACTGGGCAGTGTCTTGTATTAGCCCCCCTCAGCCTGTGGCTGGGAGATCGGCTTCCCCAGGCCGCAGGTGAGGAAACAGCCAGAGGCCAGGGCCCAACCCTGAGCAGAGCTCCTTGGCTTGTCACTGGCGGGGTCAGGGCTGGGCGGGGATCCTCTTCTGACTATGCACCCAGCAGGCATGGGCTCTGACCCCTTCCACCTGGGAGGGAAGGACTCCAGACCAGAGGCAGGGGTCTGGCCCCAGGTTACACAGCACAGAGCTCGGCTGGGTGTGCGGAGTGGGCGAAGCCGCAGGGGTGCGAACACCTGGTCGGCCACACGGGCAGAGGCACGGCTGGACAGCTGGCGTGAGGGCGCTGGGGCCCGTGGAGCGAGGCGCCGGGGAAGCGGAGCTGGGTGAGGAGTCATTGGAGTGCAGAGGAGGAGGTGGTGCCATAGCGGTTGGAGGAGGGCCGGGCAGTTCTCTGGGGAGAAGGTGCCAACTCTGCTACACCCCCGCCCCACGGGTCCAGCCCGCTTTCTCCTCACCACCTCAGAGCAGCCCTGGAGGTTTGTCCCTGTCACACACAGGGAAACTGAGGCCCCGAGACTTGCTGAGATCACCCAGCTCCTGGGCAGCAGGCCTGTCCCCAAGCCCCGGCACTCCTGCCTCTGGCTCTACCCAGGATTGAGTGCCCGGGGCTGTACAGGGCAGTGGGGGAGGCCTGGGCACCTGGACAAGGGAGTGCCTGACACGGACAGACACTCCCGAAACCTGTTGGATGGGGAGGGACGGACGGAGATGGCCACCTCGCTTGGCAGTGGGGTCCCTGACCCAGCAGAGGCTGGCGTGAAAGAGCCGGTGAGAAAGCCCAGAGCAACCTCCCAGGCTCCGCCCCGGGCAGGGCCTCCCTCCCCGGGCGGCCCTGAGCCTGCAGAAGTGGGAGACAAGAGGCAGAGAAAAGCGCCCGCTGCCACACGGCCCAGCAGTCGGGCCCAGGCCCACAGGACACGCCGTCACCTGCCCGCCCTGGTGTGCAGGGTGGGGGGCGCTGAGGCTTCTGCTGCCTCTGAGGAGGTGGTGTTGCTATGGTGACCACTGTTACCTGGCAACTGAGCTGCGTCGTCCTGGGCACCTGCTGTCTCTCCTCAGGAGCTGATGGCTGACTCTGGGGACAGACCTGTGTCCAGGAGCCCCCTTGTCTCAAAAAACCCATCTGGGCCGGGGCAAGCTACTTGGCCGGGCACGAGGGGATGTGCAGAGACCCCCGGGGCTGGTGGGACTCGAGGCAAAGCCATCTTGTTCAGCACTTTCATTTTTTCAAAACCGGGAGTGGTTGTATTGATTTACAGATAATAAAACCAACATCGTGGAATGTTGTTTATCAAACAGGCAATTATACAAACGAACGGAAGATTTCCTAGCATCTCCTGGTCACCTCCCCGTGTGAGACACCAGGCGGAGAGGCCGACGTGACTTTGACGAGAGGCTCTGTGGGGTCCCAGTCCCCATGGCAGCACGTGGAGACATGTTTCTGGGTCAGAGACTTCACTCAGCTCCGTCACTCGGACACTGCCTGGCGCTGGGTGAGGCACGGAGCATGCCCGGAACTCCTGCTCAGAGCCCGCGTGTCATGGGACCCCCGATCAGACTCCATGCTGGCCTCTGGTGTCGGGGTTCACAGACCTCTGGCCAGGAGACTGAGATCCTCACACCCCAGTGCGAGGAAGGGGCTGGGACTTGGGACTCTGTTTCATGATGAGGCGTCGCTTCTACAACGTGGAAGTGCTCATGCACAGCAGAGAATCAGGGCAAGCTCCCTGGAGGAGGCTCCTTTTTGGCTGAGATTAAAAGAACGAGAAGAATTAGGAAATGGAAATAAATTAGGCAGGAGACGCGAACACAGGAAGAAAAAGCTGGGTGGGAAGAGGGGCAGGGGTGGGCCCGTGTGGATCACAGTGGGGCGGGTGGCGAGTGGTGCACCCTGACCTTCCTTTCTTGGGGAAGGCTGGGAGGAGGGCTCATGAAGGCCTGAGAACAGCATGTACAAAGCCCAGAGCCGAGAAAAGACGACACGAGAACAGCATGTACAAAGCCCAGAGCCGAGAGAAGAGGAGAAAAGTCAAGATA